GCGCGTCACCGCGACTCTCCTGCTACTGTCTCCCCTGCTCTCTCTATCGTTTCCCCTGCCCTCTCTCTCGTCTAACACACACAAGACAAAGCTTCTCCAACGCGTTTCTGTCCCGGTGATTACGGGAGGCATGAAAATAAATATGTGGGAAGCACTTTTAGCAGGGAGTTTAGCAGAGACTTTAGCGGAGGCTGGAGGTCGCGGCGCGGTGCCCCGACGCGAGTTTCAGGGTTGTTCTCCGCAAATCTAACCTGTCTCCGAACCTCCCAATGACTTGGCCTTACTCTAATAAACACTGTTATCACTTCAGACCCTGTCCAACGTGTCCAAAGTTAGTGTTTGGTGCGCTATAACACTCGCAGGCTGCCCCGCAGCGTTTTCCGCTCTGATTCAACACGGTCTTGCTCGAATATTTTGTATGGGAGCATGTCGTTTTTTGGGGCCAGGGTAGTCTGACATGTCTGCCAACTAGTGGCAGGGTGTATGAATGAATTTTGACACTCAGTTGGTCACACTCGGCCGTTTTTAACAGTACCGTGCAGCTTGTCGACTTAAGTCGACCGTGGCGCCTAGAGGGTTAAAGAGATTATGTTGTTGAAATGTGACTAGTTTATTCACAGAAATGTTTGAGGTTGTGTGGAGGTAACATAGCACCTTTTATGATGCTGTTTTTATAATAAAATATTCAGTTGGCAACAGTCTGTTTTGGGGTAGTTGACTCAGTTTGTCTGTTTTGAGGAGGCCTGCATTGTGCAATTTTCTTGTTGTGGAAACTTGAGCATAGCTGAAAAGAAGCAAATATATTTGGTGTTCAAATATTAGGGCACTTTTGTCTGATTTAAATTATTTTTGTTTTGGGTCTTTCTGCTTTCCTCAAAAATTTGTGTTAGGGGGTCCTTGGAAATTTTGATGACCTAAAAGGGGTCACTGAGTAAAAAAAGATTGAGAACCCCTGCTTTAGTGAACTTTAGTAGTTTACGACGTATAGAAACTCGATTTTTGGCCACATTTCCATGGATTCCGTGTAGAAATTTATATTAGCTGTGTAGGGATCTATAGTAGCTATCACGTTTAGCTTTTATTTGTATCTTATCTTGCTCTCAGAGGACAGGGAATCAAAATATTTAGGAAGAGTTGGTAATCAAAATATTTAGGAAGAGTTGGCCATCGTTTGCTTTGTTTCGTAGTGATTGTGATACTGCCAGTGGGGGCCGGTCCCGGCTCAAAAGTGGCCAAAATGACGTGCGCTGACATGCTTGCAATATCACCCCGGGCCGATGGGGGTGGACCCAGAATAAGAATTAGCCAATGCTAAGATATAGCATCTGCTTACCTCTCGAAAACGTCTTTACAGGATGGTCCAAAAGTTGGCTCTTGGCCCAAAGCTCCGTTCCACATGTGTGTCAATGCTGAGCGGAGTGAATTTCTTTGGACCACTCTAGTGTAATTGCTGTGAATTTTTGAAGGCACTCGTTAAATGGAGCTGAAAGTTCTCTGTCAGCTGAGGTGAAGCTGTTTTAAGTTACATTGAGTTCTATGGGACTTTTTTCTGGGTAGCCCATGTGAATTTAGTCTGCAGTACCACGGGTGCCCCCTGTGCCCATGGGTGGGATAGCTATAAGCTTGTAATACCATATCCAGTTATTATTATAGATCCATGAGTAAAGAACAATTTTTGGTCCGTTTGTTTGAATGGTGGAGATAGGCGTGACTACGTCCGTTAATATTTACAGTCTATGGATACTGCATGCCGTCTAACATGGCGTCGTGGTAACGGTTGTGGGTCACTATGTAGGTCACGTGGTGGTGCAATAAACCTCTGTTAGCCCTGTGGCCACGTAACTTTACATGTGATCTGCAGTTAATGACTGTGGCACATTAACATTTCTCTCTTTCTGGTTAATTGTTCATTGCTTCCAATAACGAACCTGGATCAGAGGAAACTAAAGAAGGATTAACTTATTTTCCTCGACAGATCGTTGCTCTGTTTCCTGACCTGAAGAGATAATGTTTTATCTCTTCAGTTCTAGACAAATCACCAACAGGTCTCTCAAACATCACAGTGGCGTCAAATCAGTTAGAAAAAACTCTGTAGATCCAGGACTGCACTCAAAAAAATAACTTGATAAAGGAGCTATAGCGTATGTGTTTCCTGAGTCGGACACTTCGGGCTAAAAATGAGTATGTTTTTTACCTTCAACCGGTCATACATTTGTTTGTCTGCACCTCTCGCTGATTTAACTTAACCTTGCCTGCAAGCTGAATTCCCACGGTATTTGTGAGTTCACAAACACTCGAGAATACATCTTGCCCCGCTCCCGCCAACCCTTTTCGAGTAGAACATCTAGGTGTTCAAGCCAATCACGCGCCAGTCTGGGGGTTTAGGGCGGGATATCCGGGTTTGACGAAAGCAAGGAGTGCCGGGCCGAAGCAAAACAAACATGGCTACGCAGGAGGACGGACGCGTAGCTGAGGCTATCAAGTCAGTTTTAGCAGAATCTCCAATTTCATTTTTGAAAGATGAACAGCGAGAGGCGCTTTGTGCATTTCTGGACGGCAAAGATGTTTCCGGGATTGGTTTGAGTCAAACCTTGGTAGGCGGGCACACAGCGTCACTTCGCCCAATCAGCTTGAAGTATTCTGCTGCTTATCCCTCCTTTCCCCGAAAGGATTCTCCTGCAGAAGTCCCAGATTGATATTGTGGAGAACGCATTAGAGTTCTACACAATCATCAATCTGGCTCTTGCCAGGTTAGATTTAACTGACATCAGACTAAAGTAAATTTTCTAATGGTGTATGACATGGGCAATTGTCTTTGTTAGTTGTTTTGTAATGTTACAAAGAAGACCACAAACCTCGTGATTTTTGTGAGCCGGAAGTATTATCCTGAGTCGGACAGTAGCTAGCGCTAGATTAATATTGTGCAATGTAAACTTAGTTCACATCTGAGTCGTTGATCCCTATTATGACCTTGTCTTATGATTAATTTGAATAACTTTCATATGTATTATCCCATTACTTATTTCCGTGTTTCCCCACACGCATTTACAACATATCAGTATATGACCCCATCTAGTGGATATTTTCTCTATTGCATGTCTTTTTAGTGTACAATTTCATCACCTAAGACTGTAATGCAAATTTTAAAATCCCATCAAGAAACTATGAAGCTTTGCTCATCGACTACCAGCCATTTCGATGATTTCACAGAATTTCAACACCCACAGAATATTGTGTGCTATGACCATGATTCTATAATAATAATGGCTTTGACTAGATTCTGAAAGACTAAACTGTCTACTTTTAGCAGAAAAAATACGTGTTTCTGGCTTGTTTTGTTCTCCTATGTCGATCACCAGCCGAAAAGAGGAGAGTGTGACAGAAACTCCTCCACATGCTCTCTGTCAGCTTTAGAGACACCTTTACTGCTCAAACTGTCAGTACATAGAAACTGTTATTATTGTGAATTCATATTACATACAGTTTATTGAAAAAAACAAGAAATTCAAATATAGTAAAAATTGTATTGTGTGAGACATGCTATGCAATAAGATGTAAAAATGCAATATAAAAAATATTCAAGTGAAAATGTAGTATAAAAATATCCAAATAAATATGTAATGTAAAAATATTCAAGTAAAAATGTAGCATGAAAAATATTCAAATATACTATTAAAAATGTAGCATAAAAAAAAAAGTTCAAATAAACTAATAAAAATCTAGTATAAAAATATAAAAATAAACTAATGAAAATGTGATACTAAAAATATTCAAATATTCAAGTAAACTAATAAAAATGTGATACTAAAAATAATTCTAATAAACTCATGTAAGATAAGATTTCCAAAAAAAAGTAGTCATACCGCTACATGTCTCGGCAACAAAAACAAATAAAATCCCCTAGCCCTTCCTCCCATGACACGCAGACCCAGTGGAACTAGCTGTGGCAGGTGTCACACTGGACCCATGGCACCGTCTTTCCTTGGCCGGGGGAGCTGTAAAAACGGAGAATCATTAATAACATCTTAATTATTAAGACTAAATTAACTAGACAAACAAACACTAGCTGACATTGATGGTGTTACTAGTTTCAGTAGTGTCAGGTTTTAGGGAGGTAGTGCAGTATTTGCAAATGTTATTAAACAGTGGGAGGAATTCCACTCAATGTGAATCTGAGACGATGACTATTGTATGCCTTTGGTATACATACACACAGTCTCAGTGTTCCATCCATCCATCCATTTTCTACCCTTTAATCCATTTCTAGGTCAGGGGGGTGGCAATCAGAGATGCCACCCAAGTCTCATAGCACCATCCCCTCACTGACCCTCTGCAGGTGGTGAGTCCACAGGAGGACGGCTGCTCTCTGAGTGTGAGCATAGCCTTGATCTTTCAGTGGGGGCTTTGGGCAAAGTGGAGTTAAGTGTCTTGCCCAAGGACACAACGACAGCAGTCATCAGTGGGAGTCGGTGGAGAAGGTGTAGAGGTGGGAATTGAACCCACGACCTTCAGGCCTGAAGGCCAATGCTCTACCAACTGAGTTACTGTCGTCACTGTCGGTCTCAGTGTTATATCTTTGAAATAGGCCTCCAATGGTCTATTCTATTTTATTACCAACAGATACCATGGGTCTGCTGAAGGAAGGGCTAGAGGACGACTGGAGACCTGGAAGAAAAAAACACTTATGTTACCCATTCTTTTATTTGATATAGGCATAATAAACAGATATAAATGATGTGTAAGGCCAGTCCAAATGTACTGTGATCATTATATCTCCCCGGTTTCAAGCATTTTTCTGTTTGTAAATATTTAAATATTGAAGATCCTAGTAAGGAATACTTACAGTGCGTGGCAGTTCTTTGTTTTCTGGGTCCTAGGGGGCCTCTTGATTTAGATAGTTCTACAGGTGAACAAACACAGAGACACATAGTTGAGTAATATTGAATTTTTAAAAAATGCATAAATGAAGAGAATGGTCTTAATAACACAGTACCTCGAATATGTTGGGGCGGTGCTGCAGGCAGGCTCCCAGTTGGTATTCGAGGAGAGTCAGGCAGCTGAAGACCGTGGGAGGTTTGAAAGGGGATTGGAGGGGCTGAGAGGCCGGTGGTGGAATGTCCGCAACTGGCAGATGAGCACCCGGGGTTAGCACTGATGCGGCTGGGCTGGGAGTCACCAGCTATGGCGGAAGTGGCTTCCAGCTGGATCTCTTCAGCCCGCTGCTGCTCTCTGTCTCTTCTGGCCAGAGCTTGAGCCTCCCCCCCTCGCAGCTCTGTCTTCTGCCTCCTCGATGGTGGTAGCCATGTCCTCCGCCGTCAAGATGCGCGCCTCTGAAATGTTCCTCCTTAACCTGCCTTGGCTTCTATGGAATTTCACCTCCATTAACAGGTTAGGGGGGATCCTTCCCGACACCACCAGAGGATGGGCTAGGATGGAATCAGGCGGTGAGGAAGAAGGCGGTGGTGGAGAAGGCGGTGGTGGAGAAGGCGGTGGTGGAGAAGGCGGTGGTGGAGACGGCGGCGGTGGAGACGGCGATGGTGGTGATGGAGGAGGAGGAGGAGGCGGTGGTAGTGGAGGCCCATACGGCATGATCCCCCCGGATCCAAGGGGTAGAGGCCACACTTTCTGAAACCTCCAACCACAACGCCTCTATCCCTCATCTTCAGATATGAGTTTTTGAGGACCCTTGAAAACTTATTTTTGGAAAGTGTAAAGGGGTGGCTTACAGCCGACAGATCCCCAGTTGTGCCTGCAAAATCTGCCTTCAAGGGTCCAAAAAAACTCACATCCAAGGGCTGAAGGATATGTGACGTGTGCGGCGGAAGGCATAAAAGGATGACCCCTGCCCCCTGTGCCGCCTGGATCAGCTCTGGCCCGAGGTGGGATGCATGACCGTCCATAACCAGCAGCAGTGGGCGCTCCTAGGTGGCATGTTTTAGGAAGTGCTGGTTAAACCACTTCACAAACAGATCATTGTCCATATATCCTGCCGGTGACTTCCCATAAAGAGCATTGGGGACCCCTTCTTTATTATAAGGGCCCCCCGGATATCCCCCCTTGTAGATAATGAATGGGGGGATATCCTCCCCAGCCCCATTTAAACAGGCCAGGACAGCTCCTTGGTGCCTGGAGCCTGTCTGTACGCGTGCTTGGTACCCCGGGGCACGACGTCCTTCCTCCTCTGGCTGTCCAGCTGAAACCCTGTCTCGTCGCAGTTGTAGATGCAGTGGGGTTTCCCTCTCAGCCCGTACCTGTCCATTGTCGAGGACAGTAGATTGAAGTAGTCCTCGACAGGCCCCGTCTTCGCACAGGATGCTCTCCCATGGTCAATAATGTCTGGGGTCCTGGTGGTGAGCCGTTGTTTTTGTCTCTCCCTGAAGTTGACCCACCACGTCTGGCTCAGCGCCACCTTCGGTGTTTGCGGGTGGCGCCGATTGAAAATTGCCAGAGCGTGGGTCACCACCTGTGCCTTTGTCAGCGGGAATCCAAAGCTGGCGGAGTACAGGCAGTACTCCACCAGCGCATTTTCATCTTCCACAGAGTATTGGCCTCTGACCATAGGTGCTGTCAGAGGCCACTTTCCCACTGACTCGGTCTCTCAGGGTGGACTTGGGGACCCCAAAATGGACAGCTGCCTGCCTATAGGAGAGCCTGCCTGCCCGCACTTCATCAATGGCCCCCTGCATGGCCACCGGATTCCAAATATAGAACTTTCTTTGTTGTTTTCTGATTACGTGTATGCTCGGCATCTATAGAGAAGAAATGCATTTATACATTTATAAAATACAAAATTGCTTATTATATTTTATTGATTGTATCTATTGTACATCAATTGTATAAGTTCTAATGTGTCTCGGCATGCAGAGACATTGTGGTGCATGTTACCTGTGACCTTATCAGTGTCCATGTCATGTCATGTTCTGCACAATTCTTGTCCTGTCCTGTGGATAACAAAAGCACAGACACACACCTACTTTCCTACTAACTTGATAATATCCTATATTGATCTTTCCCTTTCCTAATCTCTTATGTCTTTCTCCTCGATCTATCCTTCAATACACAAAAAGACAGAAACATAAAGCAATGCAATACTATAAATAAGGGGGGCACTGTTGTTGGAGTATAATCGGGGAACTGAGCCCTCCTTTTGTGACTTCAGGAGGGCTATATTTTGCAAATGAATTTTGAATATGAATTCATTTATAAGATGTGCACTAACCTAACCTAACCATTAACTACTTGCTACTTGCTAGTATCCATAAACTGATGTTTTAGCGTGTTTTTGAAACCCCGAATCTGTGAACAGACTCCTCAGGTTAGACTTTCAGAGCAAGCAACTGTACAGCAGGATTAAAAATGTAAATACTTAATTAATATAGCTAATTTTCCACTTTATTTATAAGACTAGTAACATGCATTCACAACAGTTGATCTACCAATGTGACCGTTAAAAACAGACGAATTTGGCCTTTTAATCCGTAAAACAGAGAGTGAAAATGAGAGCTCTCCTGTCGTCAGAGCGTCGCCTAAGCACTTCATGCAAGCATTTCCGTAAAAAGCAACTTCAAAACATGATTACTCAATGAAATTAGGACATTCCTGACATTTTTTTTAGCACAAATTAACATTAACATGTTTAGAGTATGCTTGCCCACAGCTTTCCCATTGCCGTTGTTGCAAACGTCTGATAAAATCAAAACATGACAAAAAAGGTGCGCGTGTCCGACTCAGGATAATAGCATTTCAAATTGTCCGACTCAGGGTGCACTCCCCTTACCCGTTTCTGCAAGGTTTGAATGTTTAGCACCGCCTCCCAAATCGCTCAGAGGCTTCTCATTTACCCTACGCTCTCATCCCACGGAGCCATCTAGTTGTATTTGCGATCTGATGCTAACATTAGCGCAACTTAAGCTGTACAACAATCACTGATGAAATGGTTCAAAAGCAACGCACTGCTAACAAAATATATTTCTGAAAGATTACCGCTAGTTTCGCTTCCGAATGTGGTCTGAGCATAGATAGTCTGAGGTCCCGCAGGTCTCTCCCATAGACAAGGCTCTCCAGAGGATACGATGTAAGCTAGCTATGTTAACCCGGGCTTGGTTTCCTCTTTGATCTTTTTCTCGCTTTAGTTCGAGGAAGAGTAGAGCTCTTCCTCACTGTTGTGTTGTTTGGGCTGTTTTTCTGTGTCTGTAGTTACAGCAAGAGGAGTTATAGCCAATTCTGCTAACATGCTACTGTTTTTTGTGAGTGGAGCAGGATGATCGGCCCGCTGAATACACAGCTGAATCAATGAGCTCAAGTTATCAATTAAATTATGGATAATAATACAACTTGTATGTAGTAATAAGCATTTTTATGAACTCATTAGATACAAAATCAGGTATAGCTTCTTTAAAGGACAACTCACCCTCAAATCCACTTTATTTTGCTGATAAACGGTATAAATGAGTGTCCAATTGTGTTGTGTTCATATCCTGGTCATAATTTTGTCACTTTTGGCGACCTGTATTTACTACATTTACTTTGAATCTGGCGCCAACATTGGCAAAGCTGCGAAGGCTGACGTCTGCAGTGAAGGCTGACGTCTGCAGTGAAGGCTGACGTCTGCAGTGAGGGCTGACGTCTGCAGTGAGGGCTGACGTCTGCAGTGAAGGCTGACGTCTGCAGTGAAGGCTGACGTCTGCAGTGAGGGCTGACGTCTGCAGTGAAGGCTGACGTCTGCAGTGAAGGCTGACGTCTGCAGTGAAGGCTGACGTCTGCAGTGAAGGCTGACGTCTGCAGTAAAGGCTGACGTCTGCAGTGAGGGCTGACGTCTGCAGTGAAGCTGACGTCTGCAGTGAAGGCTGACGTCTGCAGTGAAGGCTGACGTCTGCAGTGAAGGCTGACGTCTGCAGTGAAGGCTGACGTCTGCAGTGAAGGCTGACGTCTGCAGTGAAGGCTGACGTCTGCAGTGAAGGCTGACGTCTGCAGTGAAGGCTGACGTCTGCAGTGAAGGCTGACGTCTGCAGTGAAGGCTGACGTCTGCAGTGAAGCTGACGTCTGCAGTGAAGGCTGACATCTGCAGTGAGGGCTGACGTCTGCAGTGAAGGCTGACGTCTGCAGTGAAGGCTGACGTCTGCAGTGAAGGCTGACGTCTGCAGTGAAGGCTGACGTCTGCAGTGAAGGCTGACGTCTGCAGTAAAGGCTGACGTCTGCAGTGAAGGCTGACGTCTGCAGTGAAGGCTGACGTCTGCAGTGAAGGCTGACGTCTGCAGTGAAGGCTGACGTCTGCAGTGAAGGCTGACGTCTGCAGTGAAGGCTGACGTCTGCAGTGAAGGCTGACGTCTGCAGTGAAGGCTGACGTCTGCAGTGAAGCTGACGTCTGCAGTGAAGCTGACGTCTGCAGTGAAGCTGACGTCTGCAGTGAAGCTGACGTCTGCAGTGAAGCTGACGTCTGCAGTGAAGGCTGACGTCTGCAGTGAAGCTGACGTCTGCAGTGAAGCTGACGTCTGCAGTGAAGGCTGACATCTGCAGTGAGGGCTGACGTCTGCAGTGAAGGCTGACGTCTGCAGTGAAGGCTGACGTCTGCAGTGAAGGCTGACGTCTGCAGTGAAGGCTGACGTCTGCAGTGAAGGCTGACGTCTGCAGTGAAGGCTGACGTCTGCAGTAAAGGCTGACGTCTGCAGTGAAGGCTGACGTCTGCAGTAAAGGCTGACGTCTGCAGTGAGGGCTGACGTCTGCAGTGAAGCTGACGTCTGCAGTGAAGGCTGACGTCTGCAGTGAAGGCTGACGTCTGCAGTGAAGGCTGACGTCTGCAGTAAAGGCTGACGTCTGCAGTGAAGGCTGACGTCTGCAGTGAAGGCTGACGTCTGCAGTAAAGGCTGACGTCTGCAGTGAGGGCTGACGTCTGCAGTGAAGCTGACGTCTGCAGTGAAGGCTGACGTCTGCAGTGAAGGCTGACGTCTGCAGTGAAGGCTGACGTCTGCAGTGAAGGCTGACGTCTGCAGTAAAGGCTGACGTCTGCAGTGAGGGCTGACGTCTGCAGTGAAGCTGACGTCTGCAGTGAAGGCTGACGTCTGCAGTGAAGGCTGACGTCTGCAGTGAAGGCTGACGTCTGCAGTGAAGGCTGACGTCTGCAGTGAAGGCTGACGTCTGCAGTGAAGGCTGACATCTGCAGTGAAGGCTGACGTCTGCAGTAAAGGCTGACGTCTGCAGTAAAGGCTGACGTCTGCAGTGAGGGCTGACGTCTGCAGTGAGGGCTGACGTCTGCAGTGAAGGCTGACGTCAGTTGCCCTGCCGCCCTGAGGTACAGTATATAAATGGCCCAGTCTCGTTCACGCCCCTGTAGCGAGTTGGAGAAGGAATAGCAGAGAGTATTTTCATTGATTGTCAGTTTGTGATTAGTTATAGCGTTTAGGTAGATTTTTATTAACATAGCTGTTTGTATTATAGATAATTGTGTAGTGTTAATCGCGTTGTTGATGAATATTGTAGTTTTTGTCATTAGTTGATTTTATTGTTTGATTAGTTTGCTGAATTTATCGTAGGACTTTTGTTAGTATTACTAGTGTTCTATATCGGGTGCAATTTCATCGTATATTGATTATTGTACAATAAAAACTGCTCTATGTTTGAGCGTGTGTTAAATTAGTGTCTCTTTTGTGCACATTGGGGTATCATTTTTATCCAAAACGCCTTCTGTGTTTCCATGCAGCACAAATTGTCCCTTGGGGACAAAGGGGTGCAGTGGCCGCAGGTTATTGTGGCAGGATTTAGAATTTTGTAACTCTATGACCCCACAACATTTAGTTTCTCGGTCTGGGTTCATAAACAAAATGTACAGACAAAACTGTCAAGCAAAGCATAAGGGGTTACTGTATGAGAATATGGGAAGGCTAGCTACATAAATGGCCACTCTTGTCAAAGGTTCGATTCAGACAGGTTAGCATTTCGGGGTCTGGATCCCCAAATGATTGCTCTTCAAGACCTGTGACAAGCAGTTCCTACTTCTTATTCCACTCTAATCTATATCATTCTGAAACAGGCCCCATTCTTTGGTGGTCTGCTGCCTCTGCAGTTAGCGACGCTAGCTCTACTAGTGTGAGCTAGCGGCTCAAATCGATAGGGCTGACATTTGGAGGGAAATCTGAAAAGGAAATATGAGTGACGTAAATCTCGAGGAGCAGGGGTGAGAAGTTCTTTAAATGAAAGTTTGAAAATGCGTTTATATAGCAATAATGAATTGTGGTGACGTAACACCATGTGAAAATGTCAGATAAACATGTAATTTGGTTTGTGTAACTTCATAACTATGGTTTGATCCAACTATAACCCTTGTTTGGTGAACATGCACATATTTTGTTTATTTAGCAAGAAATAGTTATGATGACTGCACCACATGAGATGGTGTTGGGTCAACATGAAATATAAAAGTGTGCATAACAAATCCACGGTTCAAATAAAATGTGGGAGGTAAACAGATTTTATTGTGGTTCCACCACAGCAAATTGTCTATTTAGATTTTCCCATATTTGGATACAACAAAGCAAGCAAAGTATTGAGAGATCCAATGTCAACATATTTACCCATTACTGGTGTCAGGATAAGGGATGGGAAAAAAGCTAACTTTCCTTGTTACAAAAACATCCATCCATCCATTTTCTACCCTTTAATCCATTTCTGGGTCAGGGGGGTGGCAGTCAGAGATGCCACCCAATTCTCATAGCACCAGCCCCTCACTGACCCTCTGCAGGTGGTGAGTCCACAGGCGGACGGCTGCTCTCTGAGTGTGAGCATAGCCTTGATCTTTCAGGATCATGTTACAAAAACAATTTTATTTAAAACTAAAATTTGTGCAACACATAAAACTTTTTATAGAATAAATAAAATTGTGTGTATATGCTGTACACTATAAAACAAGTACCCAACTTTATTGAAAAGGATATTCATCTTTTTTTATAAAGTAGAGCTTAAAGCCGCACTAACTCACTTTGTGAAATTTTCGAATGTGAGCGCTGCCTCGCTCTTTCTGCTCTCCCTCCCCACACTCACAGAGCTATCTCCCCCCCTCCGCCTCAGCCTGTGCCTATGTGTTTACGGAACTCACGTCTTACAATATGGATCGCAGATTTAAACGTGGAGGGCGTGACCATAGAATGACAGAACCAGGAAGCCCGGAGGAACGAGACTTTCTTTTGGATGGCTGTTTTGCTGTGTCAGCAGTAACCGGTAATAAAGACACAGGAAGTTTCAGGCTAGCCTCCGCCGCTTGTTTACCTCAGCTGTCTGTGGTAACCACAGTCCGCTGTGATTGGTCACAATCTGGTCCCAAAACAAATTATCTTTCTTGTTGCACAAAAACTTGATATAAAATAAAATTATACGCCAGCACAAATCTACGCCACTTTTTCTTCAAAAGGACGTATATCCCAATGAACTGCATGGATATGGATTGAATAATCGTAATGAATACAAAAATAAAGTCAGGTAATGCAGCTTTAAGTGCGCGCCATTCTGCTGTATGTCTTTGGGGAAAACATTCATATACCGGTACTCAATACAAGCAATTGAATTCACCCTTGTGCAGGCCTAAATCAAAACAGTAATCTCAGGACTTAACAAAACACAGAATCAAACAGTTCAAACAAAGGCGATAGAACACAGGTTCCATATGAGTGTTGATAAATGTCCATAAATATTAAAGCACCCACCCACCAAGGGGTGTCCACCTGCAACAGTCATGATATTTTTTGATAGTCCAATTCCATTTAGTTCCATTGTTAACTTTTGAATAACCTCAAACGTGTATTTTAACTTGGGCGAGTTAACTGCACAAACAAGTGCAACATGTTCCCCGGGTCAGTCCTCACTTCCACACCTTCAATGATGATGATGATGATGCCCACACAGTCTGGCTCTTCGTCCCAGTCTTGTTCTTTGCGGATTACAAAGATTCCCTCTGTCATCTCCAGCGAGTGTCATCACCGTTTTCACAGTTCTAAAAAGAATACAGACATGAATCATACAAGACGGGTGTAAAGAGGGGGGAGATGGATGTAAAAAGGGGGAGACGGGAGGCAGGGAGGGGGGGATGAATGTAAAAAGGGGGAGAGGGGTGTAAAGAGGGGGGAGACGGGTGTAAGGAGACAGGAGACAGTGTAAGTTGTTAGAAGGGGGGAGACGGGTGTAAAGAGGGGGGGACTGGTGTAAGGAAGGGGGAGACGGGTGTAAGGAGGGGGGAGACAGGTGTAATACGGGTAAAGAATGGGCCCATGCATGAACCAAAACTTAATTTACCGAGTATTCCTTCATTTGTCCAACTCTTCGTTCAGGCAAACGTGAAGGGCTTTAAGTAGGCACTCTCTTGACATCAATGGAGTCAGTCTGAGATTAGGTAAAAAGAAACACAAGACAAAGTAAACAACGTTGGGTAATTAATGGGTCAGAAACACCGAATGAGGCTTTTAAATATGCAATCAGTTACTGGTAGCACCTTTCCTCAACATCAGAGGAAGCACCCCATCCACCAGACCGACAAGCCTGCCCTCTCTCATCCTGAGATTATCATTCTTCTTTTCAGTATCCCACTTCTCTTCACTCCACTTTCCTTCATTCCTTCAGGACTTCACACCTCCCTCTTAACATTGTAGACGTGGAAAGACATTTCCCCTTTTGTAATCATACCTTGGTTAGGAGTAGTAAGATCTCGTAAACTCGTAAACGTTTCTGTGTGTCTGTATGTGGAGTGAAACTCTGGAACAAACTGGACTCACAACACAAGGCAATGCCAAACTGTCCATCGATTCAAACTTTTATATAAACATCGGGTCTGGTCAAAATATAGAGATGTGGGTCTTTAATTTAGGAGAATGCTGCCATCCCATCACACACGTAGGTTAACCCAAAGCTGTCTAAACTTTGAATATATTCTAATTCACTTTAATGAAGACAACTTTAATGCCAACAACTCTACTATCAATTTCTCACACTCAAACAAGTCAAATATTATCAAAAACTCATAAAATCAATGAGATGGATGTGCCTGCTTCTGACTACGCAGTCTCCTTATTCTTGGAGCAATGGAGGACAAACAAACTCTCAGATCATCTTCAACATGCAATCTTGCCCTGTATTTATTTTTCATTGCCGTCAAAGAGGAAAAGGATGACAAAAGCTGCTTTCACACCGGACTTAACTTTGACTTCAAAAGCGTCAGGTGTGCATTGAAAGTGAATGGTGAAGCGCGTCAGGTGATGCCGAGAAGCCCGGCGTCGCTTGGCGCGCGTCAAAAGTACGCATTACGTGCATAACGCTTGCGTCTCTTGCGGCGTCAGTTGAGCAAAGTTGAGCTTTTGAAGCTTTGACGCCGGGCTTCAACCAATCAGGAGACAGGGTCGCTCGAGCGAAGGATGAAGCCGGTGGAAGTGGGAAAATATCATATTCGAGAAAATGGAGGAAAGCATAATAATGGCAGTGAGCTCTCGCCCTGAGCTATAAGCTATATCCAGCCCACTATACAGGGACAGGAACAAGAAGGACCTTGCTTGGAGGAGGATCAGTGAGGAGATCAGGTATGATGGTAAGTTATCTAAAAAATTCACTACTGTTCATGTTTAGTAAACTCCGTTCAGGAGTCGTACAATGTACAGTCGCTATGATTTCTGTTCCCGCTCACAAGTCCATTTGTTCATATAGAGAAAGAAATAAAAAAGAGATGGAAAAGCCTGAGGGACAGGTTCATGAGGGAGTGCAGGAAGGAGCAGGAGAGAAAGCGGATTAAATGTGGAAAATTCATTCTGTCTTCTTATGTCTACGGCTTTTTAAGTTCTTCTAATAAGACAATTAAAGCAAAAAAGCTAGTACTGCTTAAATACCTGACATGTTTCGGCGGTACACTTCTGCCTTCATCAGAGTACCACTGCAAAAGAGAGAATCACATCATGGACTGGGACAATGCAAGAATAGTAGGAACAGAAGAACATAAATACAAAAGATGGATACGAGAGGCGATCAAAATCAGGAAGCGGGGAACACGGACCATCAACAGAGACGAGGGGGCCTTCACCTTGGCTCACACTTGGGATCCACTTCTCCAGAGACCACAGCGCGGCGGGGGACGTGGTCAGTCTGATGGATCTGTGAGATCTGTCAGACTGACTGCTTCCGGCAACAACAGCTGATAAGAGACGCGTCACACCATCACGTGTCACCTCTGATGAAGGCGGAAGTGTACCGCCGAAACATGTCAGGTATTTAAGCAGTACTAGTTTTTTTTGCTTTAATTGTCTTATTAGAAGAACTTAAAACGCCGTAAAGCAGAGAAAGCGGAGTAGAGCAGCAGTAGGGACAGTGCAGAGGTGGAAGTACTTTGCCTCGCTCTCCTTCCTTGAGCCCTTCCTCACACCAAAGCCATCGAGTGGCAACATGCCAGCACCAAGGGCCGAGGAGGAGAGCGGGTACGACCACCTCCGAGATGAAGAACCAGCAGCAGCATCAGCAGCGGAGCCGTCAGATGCAGGAGGTCTGTAGCTAAAAAAACAATGTATGGAAAGCAGTCATGCAGCTGCCCACTTTACTGTTTTGTTGTCATTATTGTTATTAGCAATGTTATTTATATGAGTAGTAACGTTCTTTATAAGTGAGTAACAAAATAATTGTACACATGCTGTGAATTAAAAGTAATTTATTTAATAACAGAACAAGCTGATGCAGTCTGACTCAGAGACAGAGCCGAGTGCTGGTGCTGGTTCTTCCTCTGCTGCTGGTCTTTCCCCTGCTGCTGCACCTTCAGGTGTGTAGGAATTCAATGTTATTGTTGTGAAAGTATAAACGCTATATTAAACATTTCATATATATTTTTGAGTATGTGGTCATTAAATAGTGATATTCCAATTAAATACTGGTTTTACAGAGGATCTAGTTATTTTATTAACAAAAGCAAATGATTTAAAAGTTGTTCATAGATTATCAGATCCAACATGCTCATGACTTTATATTTTTTAAGTCATTGTCCTGTGGTGTTTGCAGGTCCACAAAGGGAGAGAGGGAGGAAGCCCAGGACACCTCCGCCCAGGAGCCAACGCGCTTGGAGCTGTTGGCCTACCTGCAGCGGACCGCAGCTGCAGCTCCAGCTCCATGCTCACACAATGAGCTCTTCCTCCGCTCTCTGCTTCCTCTCCTGGATAAGGTGCCACCTCAGTCGTTAGAATTCATAAAATTCCAAATTCATAAATTAGTTTATGAGAGCAGCACATTTACGCTTAATTTGGAACCAATGGAGCCAGAGCCGGAGCTTCCTATACGCAGACTACGCAGTATGCGTAAGGCCCCACAGCTGGAAGGGCCCCGGAGTACAGACTTTTTTATCGCGCTCACTTGTGCAGTTACGAGGCCCTTCTTATTCGGAATCACCCATTTGATTGGTTGTTAAAGTTGTCACTTGCTGTCTCCCATGATCCTCATACGTTATGTCCTTACTCCACTTTCAACCCTACCCTCTCTCCACCTTGTTGTTGTCAGTCGCGCAGCCAGGTGGAGAGACTGAGACGCTGACACAATGAAGCAGAGTTATCCCTCGGGTCATGAAAAAGGAAAAAAAGACAACATGACAGCAAATTGCGGGAACAACAGTCGGGTAAAAAACGTGTGGTTGCATCGACTGTCTGCAAAGAAAGTTGAATATTGTGTCTTTTTTCTGTTTTTTTAACGATTACTTATTTAGAATATCAATGTTTTTACAGGTGCTATGTTGAAATTCCTTAATGAAGGAGATCCTTCAGCAAGCAGCAGTACCAGCACAGTAGGTTCATTTGTAGCCTCTGCTAATCCAGGCAGTTCTAAGCCAGCGCTTCCTCAGAAACAACCTCAGAGGTGAGAGTGGTTTTGCTCAATCAAGTCAAGATTTTTTGCTACAGAAATATTTTTTTTAATCGATTTTGCGTAAAAAACAAATTTCTGCGGATCATTAGCTGAGAAACCCTTGACGTTTTTTTCCCGTTTTCCTCAAGAAATAAAAGTCAACGTATCCAAAGTCATTCAGTTTTCATTTACTCCATCAAATTTGATAAGCAGAATTCATAATAACGTAGACGTACGTAATCCGTAACACTATGGCTGTATCTCAAAAAGTTGACCTGATAGAGCAAAATGCATGTGATATTCGGACTCAGAACACCAAAATTAGTCTGAATCAGTTGAGAAACCCCTGACCATTTTTTGGCTGTCAACTTGTGTAATATAAGAATTGAGTTGGTGCGCAAAGGTCCCTTCAAACCAAGCCAAGATTTTCCCTACCCAAAAGACAAGTTCTACAGAGGATTTCATTCAGGATTGTATCGAAGGAAGCTTTCAAACGGTGAAAAAATAACAAGAAGTTGGCTCACATACTCTGAAGAAAAATGCTGCATATTGCTTTTGCTGTAAGCTCTTTTTGACTAAAGATTTCAAAATAATCAATGGTATAGATGACTGGTCAAATATCAATGCCATTCTAAACCACCATGAAAACAGCAATGAACACACCTCAAGCATGGACAAGTGGAGAGAACTTGATCAACGCATTAGGCATGGAAAAACGATTGATCACATTAACATGACAAACATGGAAATTAAAAGAAAGAGGTGGCGAGATGTCCTCAAGCGCCTAATTTGCATCATTCAATCTCTGGCTGAAAGGAACTAGGCACTTAGAGGCTCATCTGATGTTCTTTTTGAGCCAGATAATGGTAACTTTTTAAAAGAAGTTGATCTACATGCAGCACTTTTAACTTTATTTTTGTGAACAACATTGGCCTGTTCTGGAAGCGTCACGTGGCCTATCGTCCAGATGGTCTGCACCCGAACAGATACGGCACCAGTTTGTTGACGGACTTCCTACGCCATGTTGTTCAGTGCTCCCCGAGGGGGGCGTGACTGTTTACATCTGAGGCTTCTCGGCCCCCCACCACCCCCCCTCCTCCTCCTCCTC